AACAACAACAACAACAACAACATATTTTGTATACATATATTCAGGCTGTTCATGGCCCTCAAGTCTTCTTATTAGCCCTCTTACCAGGAGATAAGAAGCAGTACATTAATCTGAACTTAATAGGTATGTAAATTGGTGACTTATGTGGCATATCTGATACCCTCAAACATTGCGGCCATATACTGATTTAACATTTGAAATAGAAAAAGAAATGAGGAAGGAACAGGTTCTGTGTTTTTATTTGTTCTCTGTAGACTTTGTAAGAGTAACAACTTTTTGTAAATACATTAGTCCCAAGTCTATAATGAATAGTTCTGCAACAGCCAGACCCAGAGGCCTAGTGGTAAGAAGTTGCACTGCCAACCCCAAGGCAAGTGATTTAAATCCAGTAGCTGCTCTGTCGGAGAAAGATGGGCATTCTCCTCCCATTGGATTTGTGACCTCTGAAATCCCACTAGAGGGTCAGCTGTGAGTCACTTCGAACTCAATGGCACGTAACAACAACAGCGTATTCAGAATAATTGTCGCTGTTTCTAGTCTACTGGCTCTAAGATAATAGTACTCGGTAGAGCTGAAGACTCAGTAGAACGAAACAAAGAGGGAAGGAATAATCAGATTTGTGGATTGATGTAGTCAACATTCCTGTTAGAGTCTTGAGATGAATTTTGAGTTCTTCGGCTAAGACAGGATTTGGGAACTTTTTCAGAGAGAAATTTAGAAACTGAACACTTACTAGAGAGTGAACACCTATGAGAACATAATGAAGGAGTCAACATAAATGAGTCTAGAGGAGGGAAAGGGTTGTGTTTCAGATTCGTGTGAGCTGTTGTCACCAAGATCAGAGTTGTTGCCATTTTCATGAATGGCATTAGGAAGCATGCCCCATTTCATTTGGGTACAAAGTTGATTTTAAAAAACTGGGGCTTTTGGTTTGTCTCATGTTTAATGGATTAAGCAATCTCAAATTACTGTCTAATGCCGAGTGACAGCAGGGTAGCTTTGGCAGAATAATACAGAGCATTTGCCCTCCTAACGCAAAGGCTGCACATCTTGAGCAGTTCAAAGCCACCAGCAGCTCCTCTAGGGGGGAAAAATATGGGCATTTTCCTCCCATTAAGATTTCCGGTCTCAGAAATCCAAGGTCACTGTGAATCAATATAGACTTGATGGCAATGACTTTTGAGTGTCAAGTGACAGCAATTTGAGTGGAAAATCTGGCATTTTTCTTTTTAAATTTTTTTTTATTTTAATGAAAGTTTACAGAGACTTTGGATTTCCATTCATTCATTGTTGCACATTTCCTCCCTGCCCATCCCTCCCCCAATTCACTGTTCTCTTTGAAAAGTTAAAAAAAAATTTCTCTTATTGTTATACAATCTCTCCCTCATCCAAGTCCACTCCACTGTGCATCTTTTATTCTGGACTCCTGTCATGACAATAATACCTAATCATATATTCCTCCTAAACAGTTCTCTCCCTCATCTGTTTCAATGAAGTATACAAATTTATCCCCTCTTAGGTTCCTCCCAACTCTGATGTCATACCTGTTTTACAACAGTGGCACTATGCAGTATTTGTCCTTTTGTGACTGAGATATTTCATTTGGCATAATGTCCTCCAGGGTCACCCATTTTGAATAATATTGCATGAGTTTCTTGTTTTTCAATACAGCGTAGTATTCCATTGTGTGACTATACCACAGCTTCTCTTTCCGTTCGTTTGTTGATGGGCACTTGGGTTGTTTCCAACTCTTTGCTATTGCAAATAAACCTGCAATAAACATGGGTGTGCATATATCTGCTTGGGTGGCGGTTATGGTTTCTTTGGGGTATAACTTAAGTGTATTTATTGGTAACCTGGGATAATAATGATTATCTGTTGGGTTGTTAGGAAGTTTAGAAATTATGCGTGTAGAGTGCCTATGCAGTGCCTGTTACATAGCACGTATTTGGGGGAAATATTATTAATTTTGAGTGTCTTGCCTGGCATACTCACATTCATATCAATCAGTATTGATATTGGTTAACTTAAAAAACACTGTTTGGAGGCAACCTCAGAGTGAGTATATTAATTCATTTTGTTTCTTTTTCATTAAGGCTGTTGGTCATCTTATTGCTGCAGTTCTAAAAGAAAATGGTTATTCAGAAAAGATCCACCAATCAACAAGCCAGGTCTGTGTTTAATACTGTGATTTAGTTCTGTTCGATGCTTCTACAAGCTGGAGCACATATGTGCTTCTCGTTTCCTCGTAGATTGATAGTCATCAAAAGGAATTTTTTAAACTGCTTTCTGCTCCTGCCCCTCCTTGATTCTTGTGCCATCTCTTTATAGCATGCATTCAAATTTTTAAGTTTGCTACAACAGGCTTCATGAATGATATATGGAGGGGACAAGGGGAGAATTCTTTACACTATTGATGATAAATTGCAGAGGTAGGATGAGAGGAGATAAGCTTTAGAGAAGGTTGAAAGGATTGCCTCTGAGGTAATCCTTTTGGTTAACAGAGACAGTGGACATTGCACCTTTGAGTGTAGACGATTTCTCATCCTTCAGGCCAGCTCTGGATGTGAATTCTAAGTTGGGAAGGTCATGTATTAACAGTAGGAACTAGAGGAACTATTCTTGCACAGGGTAGCCTAGTGTCCCAATTAAGAGTCTTGCTTACTGAGTTACACCAGTTGGATTTTGGTTGACCAGAAGTGTAAATTTTGACAGGCTGATTGGGAACTTGCTTAAGAGGGATACTTAAAGAAATACTCTATCAGAAGAACATAAAAGATGAACATAAGGGGGGAAGTTTCCCCCAAGAGAGAGAAAAAGAAATTATTTTCATTCTATCACATTCCCTTGATTAGCTACTTCAGTTTCAAGTTTTTACAGCTTCTATTAATGCTTTGAAGTAAATGTAGGGACATAATAATTGGCCTTTATTTGGTGTTTGTATGCAGTCAAACTAGGTTTCCTGAGAATCCTGATCTTTATCCTATCTGTAATCACATTATAGACTCTGAAAAGATCTAGTGGTTTTACTTGACTGCCAGGATTTATTGGATATCAAATCTCTGCAACGAAGTGTTTCCTCTTTTAATAAATGAATGCCTACTTGCATGAGGTCCCACCATTACCTGTGGCAACCATTGGCTTATTTTTGTTTTCTGATGCAGTAATGGAGAAATGACATTTAGAGCCCTTGAAAGTGTTCATACAGGTGAATAAATTTTCTTCTCAGTTAAGAGGAGAAATGGAATATAAATCTTTCCTTCCTGCAGCGATGACTGGTAACTGTATTATTCCTTTAATAGTGGGATTCCAAGAAGTTCTTAGAGCCAAGGCCAGTGGGAAAGTGGCCACAATACGAGGCCAATTTCCACTCTTTCTTTTATTCTTTGAGTTGTGAGAGTCTTTTTTTCCCTATTATTTCTCCAAATGATATGATTCCCTATTTAAGTCATGTCAGGGAGAAGAAAATAACTTCATTATATGCATTTGTATTTTTTTTTTTTATGGTGAGAAAAATTTATTACATTTAGAATTAGCCCGCTGGACTCAGTTTAGATGATCCCAATTTTGTTGGCAACATCCAAAGCATCATAATCAGGAGCAAGTCGAACATAGGCCTTCTTCTCTCCATCAGGCCTAATCAAAGTGTTGACCTTGGCCACATCAATGTCATAGAGCTTCTTTACAGCTTGTTTAATTTGGTGCTTATTGGCCTTGACATTCACAATGAACACAAGTATGTTGTTATCTTCTGTCTTCTTCATAGCTAACTCAGTGGTCAGGGGAAATTTGATGATGGCATAGTGGTCAAGCTTGTTTCTCCTGGGAGCACTCTTCCGGGGGTATTTGGGCTGCCTTCGGAGTCTCAGCGTCTTAGGCTGCCAGAACGTGGGTGACGTGCGGATCTTCTTTTTTTTTGGCTGTGGACGCCCTTCAGGACGCCTTCTTGGCCTTCAATGCCTTTGCTTTGGCTTCAGTTTTGGGAGGGGCAGGGGCTTCCTTCTTCGCTTTCGGCGCCATCTTCGTAGAAAGCGCATTTGTATTTTTTGAAAAGAGATAAAGAAATGACACTGTATGTAAGTGTAAATGGATTGAACATATACATTCACATCACTAACAGGGTATTTTTTTTTAAATCAAATATCTTGTGATAGTTAGGAGAACTTCTGTTATTAGGCGCGTGGAGCTAGTTAGGACTCCTCACGACTGTATGAACAGCGGATCTAACCTTCGCCCTATCCTGTGCCATCCTCATCACCTTAGCCATGCTCAGTCTCACTGAGGTAGTCACTGTGTCAGTCCATTTCATCAAGGGTTGTCCCCCCCTTTGCTGACCCTCTCCTTTTCCCAGTGTGATCTCTGTCTCTCCAGGGTCTTGTTCCCCTTGAAAATATGCCTAAAAAAAGAACGATGAAGTTTCAGCATCCTCTCGGGAGCACTGTGGTTGTACTTCCTGTAAGACAGTTTTGTCTGAACTCCTGGTCTTGTAGGGCTTTTCAGGATGAAGAACTTCTGTGTATTTATATGCCCTTCGGTGCTTCTATCAAAGAAAACAGATTTAGTGCATGGGGATGAGGAGATCATGCCTAGACTTTTGCTGGTAGTTGAAGAGTTAGCAGTTTGCTCATTGTCTGCAGTCTTTTTTCCTTCTCTCTGGACCCAAACCTGAGTTCGGTAGTTGTGGGGCAGGGACATGCATGGTCGGTGGATGAGCAAGGGGGGCGTGCATGGGAGAGCTTGATGATGGAAGAGCAGGAAATTTCAGAAAATGCTGCTGGCCTCCTTGCTTTGAAGAATAAGTTAGAATTGGTATAACTAGGGGAGCTCTGGTGGCCTAGTGGCAAGGAGCTGCAACTACAATTCCAGAGGCGCACGGTTCGAATCCACCAGATGCTCTGCTGGGGAAGGAGGGACAATCTCCTCCTGTACCAGTCAAATCTGATTTGACGGTACACTCACACAAATAATAAAGTAAAAAAAAAATAAGAAAAAAAAAGAATTAGTATAACTAATATCCTAATTTAGTATTCTAATTAGTATAACTATTATCCTAGTGTCTGGTTGATAGTTGTAGAGAGCTTCAGGCCTTCTGTTCACAGGGTCTCTGTGAGTCGTGCTTGAGTTGAAGGCAATCAACAACAACAACAATATCCTAATATTGCTTGTATCTCACTAAAATTGCTTGGTTAAAGAAATAAGCTAGAGTCTGAGTTCAGTGTTGACCCTTCCATTGATATTGTTGTGTCACTTGAACTCTAGTCATCCCTCCCCTCACAGCCTGCCTTGTTTTACATCTGAGATACTAGGTGAGAGAGAGACATCACATCAGGACATATCCATTATTGCTCTTGAAAACGGACATCAGTCCAGGGAACGACAGCAGCCTCATTTCTGTATAGGAAAGTTGGCCGACCGTGAATGAATTATGCTTTGGCCAGTAGTTGATGTGTGTGTGTGTGTGTGTATATTTGTGTATGTATGTGTGTGTTCCTCATTGAAACCTCTTTTAACCACTGGTTGCCTTTCAGACTCCGGCTTTGAACTTGCTGTGGGAGAAGTGTTGCAGCGACAATGGGGTGGTTCGGACAGCCTGCTGTGAGGGCTTGGTGGCTCTTGTTGCTCAGGACCATGCAGAGTTCAGCTATGTCCTCAATGGGATCCTCAACCTGATTCCCTCTACCAGGTACTCCTCTCAGCTTGATCGGTTTGTCTGGAGAGAAAGTCACTAATTTGCTATTCAGGCTCCACATTCATCTTATTTGCCAGTTGTTTTCCTAGGATGTTAAGCAGTCGTTATTTCATATTTTGATGTAACTATGCTGATTTAAACTCTGAAGTGTTGGAATTTGTGGTCACTTACTATATAGGCAATGCTTGGGATACAAAATGAGACCTGTTCCTAACTGTAGGGATTTGTAGGTGGGTCGGAACAGGAGTATATGAGTCACATTTAGCCTTGCGTTAGTGCAAGAGGAGTCTTGATGCCTTTCAAGCCGGCACATGCAACACACAAGTAAAGGTGTTTGTGATGAATTATTTTATAAGTAGGGGTTGATTGACTTATTTCAAAGTGAGTGGAGTTTACATGATATTAAAGGTCAAGTAGGGAGCTCTGGCGGCTAAGTCCCAGGGAAGATGTTCTGTAAGACCAAAGAACATATTTTTAAGGGTCAAGTAGGGAGTTCTCGAGGCTTAGTCCCAGGAGAACTGTGCTGCAAAACCAAAAGCAGCACCTCTCGGGCAGTTCAGATCCACTGTTGACACTGCAGTCGCCTCTCCTGCAATTTACAGCCTCAGAAATCCCACTGAGGGTCAATTATGAGTTCATTCCAACTTGACAGCAATGAAGGAAGGAGGGCGGGCAGAAAGCACGCGGTTTGAACCTACCTGCAGCTCTGTGGGAGAATGAGGAAAGAGAATTCGTTTTCTCCCATGCAGTTTACTGCATCTGCAAACTACACTGGAGGGTCTGCTTCTCCCCTGCAGTTACTGCATCTGGAAACACACTGGAGGGTCAGCTCTGGGTTTTTCTGACTGGACGATATATAACAACAACTGTGATATTGTATACATGCATAACCCAAAAAGATATATGTCTGAATTTTTATGGTTTTAAAACTAGAAATTGTTGCTCACTGCACATAGTATGATTTATCTTGCATTCTTTAGTTAGAAATGATCTTAGACATTATTCCATAAAATATATAAAGATTTCCCCAGCAGTACAATATACTATTGTTTGGTCTTGCTTTAATTTACTATTTTCCTATTGTTTGTAATCTCTTCCAATTACAGACAATGCTTCTATGAATAATCTTACACATATGATTGACCGCTCACATTTAAGGTTCTTTTGAAATATGTCCAAGACGTAGGAGAAAGCCTTGAATGTTACCATAATCAAATATAACTTTAATAATGGAAGGATCTAAGGGGGGGGTGTACTTGAAGTTCCTTTTTTGAGAATGTTCATGCTGTCTAAATTATTAGCTGCAGACTAATGTAGATTGAGTGGACCCTGAAGCAAGCTAATTTAAGTTTTTAATCAGTTTGATCATAAAATGTGTTACATAAGATTCAAGTTTTCTTTATTGCTAACACCAGTGATGCTAATTTTTTCTGTGTCAGGAAACAAATTTCTTGATTTAGGTTCCCCCCCCCCACCCCAAGTAGCCCAACTCTGTGGTTTGTAGTGATTACAAAGACTATACTTTGCACTCTTTCTGTTTTGTTTTGTTTTTTTTAAAGAGTAAAGGAAAATGAGAATCAAATTAAAGAAAAGCAGCTAATAGCAAACAGACCCAGAGAGCTCATCTTCCAAATGCTGAGGAAGAAGCCATGTGTGTTAGGAAACCGTCTCTGTCTGAAAGGAGGAATAGCTTTCACTGCTGTATTCTTGGCTGAGATACTTTTAGGTCAGCCGTGCCTAGTACCTGAGTTTCTGTGCTTCTCGTTTTAAAGCCTAAACATTCGTTAAAATAGAAAAGTACCTTGTCAACAGGACCACATGGTGATCACTCATCTTTGATTTAGAGATACAACTCTAAAATGTTTTCATCTTGTTTGTGTGCTAGTTTAGTTTCCTTTAGATTTTGAAAGAGGAGCAGAGAAAATGTGAAGAAGAGGGAGAGAGAATGAGAACAGTGAATGAATGAGAATGAGCAGCAGCCCACTGTAGAGTGGATCTTCAGAGAAGGGGCTGTCGGGAGCTCTGGAGGATTGTACCTCACGTAAGAAGCGGTTAGGAAAAAGGGAAGGCAAAGACCATTTGTCCTAGTTTTGTAACCTGTTCCTTACTCCTTTGCAGGTCTTGTCTGTGAAAGTCCCATGGCTCATGTCTGGCTCCCTGCACCCCCACCTCTTCTTTAAAACTCAGCCCACAGTTTAGAAAACGTGGTCTAGAGCCTGCAACATTGTGTAGTCTAATTCTGAAAAAGACTTGACATTTGCAAAACTCTGGTTGTCTAAACTTGAGGGAGTGGCTGGGAAAGTGTTTGGCTCTGTTTGAGAGACTGTTCTCTTCAAAGGAATACAGTATTTTGATGTCCACCAGTGTTTTCAGTTCAAAGCCGAGGCAACATGAAACAATTGCCAGTGAGTTTTTATAGCTTCTGTAAACAAAGACATGGATTTAAGGGCTCTAAAACGTTCTTTTAATCAGTAAATCAGTTGGAAGAAAAAATTTCCCTAGGGAGGGTAAAGCCAAGAAAGGGACCACAAGGAACCACACTAAGGAAATGACTATCACTAGATTAATGTGAGTTTCGAAGAAATGAACTAAACCAGAAATGAGTGAGACAAACAAGAGTGAATGCTTTCCCTGCCCTTTAAGGCTTTGCCTCCTTTGCGTTTAAATGGTTTTTGTTTGTACTTTTTTTATTTTTTGGTTAAACATTGACTTTATCTTAAGATAAAGTGACCCAAAACAAGAAGTTTCCAGTTTTTATTTCATTAGTGTTTTTCCTTTCTTAACTGCTCTGCTTCTGCACTGCTCGCACCCATTGTTACAGTTGCTTAGTAACGGTGTTGTGAATAACAACCTTCCTCTCCTGTGGAACCAGGTATTCAGTTTTTGATACTGAGGTGTCATGACAGCCTGTAATTTGGGCTCGATGGTTTCCCCCACCTTCATTTAAAAACATGCTTGGTAGGTGGGTTTACTGTAGATACAACTAGGCTAGCGTTTGCATTGTAAGCCTTTTGCGCTTCTAAACAGGAAAGGCACATGTAATCGATGCATCCTCATTAGTGTGGAATTAACGGCATTTTTTTTTTATAAAAAATATTAAATTATTAAAGTCTGTAACATCTGCCTTGTATGAAATTTTACATAGGATATTAGACATTCTGAATTCTGATTAAAGCTATGGGACTCTGAGTCTTTTGATCACGGAGTGAGGATCAGTCGTTGAGAATGATTCTGATAATTATTTGGAATTATGATTTAAGATAATGAGAATATTTTTCTCTCTCAGGTTCTTCTTTTTAAAAATGATCCTGTTCCTTGGGAAGCTTTAATTACTTTGATTTCTTGTAGGAAATGACTAGCAAACTATTAGAAACTGTATTTATCTCATATCCTATTGTTGAAGCTTTTCTGTGCTGTTTGTTGTTGTTGATTTTTGTCAAGTTGAGCACAACTCATAGCGGCCCTATGAATAAAAGGCCTGACGCCTTTCTGTAACTATTGCCATTTATTGAAATCGATAGAGTTTCCAGAGGCATGTTGTTTAGGAAGTAGGTGCCACATGCTATTTAGCATCTTTATTTGGCAGGAGAAGAATCTAAGAAGTATCTGTTTATGGAGTTTCCTTCAAGGCTCAAGGAAGACAGAATTGGTGGGCTGAAGACAGTTTAGTTAGCGTGCTTTGACCTGCAGCTGAGTGTCAGAGTATTGCTGTGATGGATTTGATGAAGCTTTAGGATCTGTATCACCACTGATGCCATTGCTCAGTCAACTCTTACCTGAGACTGACGGAATTACCTGGATGTGTGTGTCTCTTTATGTCTTAAATATTCGTAAGTCTTTTTGCTGTTTCCAGGGAGCCTTCTTTCTTTTTCCCCTCCCCCACCCCAGTCTTGTATTTTTCTCTAAAACCACAAAATCTTTCTGAATTTGTAACTCATAACCAGAAGAGAGACACCAAACACTTTGCTGTCTAGGACAATCTGTCCTTCTTTTTAAAAGCTATTTTAATGAGCTTTAAGTGAAAGTTGGTGCAGCGTGTTGTTGGTAACAATCCCCGCATTGTACCAATGATCCACGTTTCCATTCCACGTGCCCTGTTGTCTGATTTCCCTGCCTTCTCATCTTTGCTTTTGGTCGGCTGTATTCTCCTCCCTCCCCTCTTAATATTAGTTGATTATGTTGAAGTCTTTGTAACAAAATCTTCCATTGTAAGAGTCCTGTGTTTACATCAAGATGGCTCCAATGACTTAAGAATAGTGCCCAGTGAACACATGTTACTGTTATAATGGCAAAGTGCTTCTAAAGAAATGGAGCTCTTTTTTGGTGCTTAGAAGACAAATGAGTATACAGAACTCTCCCAAGCCAGGATTCAACCACACTGTAGCTCTTTGATGTTTTAAAAAGAAGCCTTTTCCTCCCACACATTAAAGCATCAAACCTGGAAGCCTTTCATTTCCCGTTTATCTTCTCTTTGCCTCTGCTGTGTTTACTTTTCCTTCATATAATTTTGTAATGAGCTTAGTAAACAATCCGATCATTAATCTAATGCAATGAAATAACCAATCGCTCTCCAGTCGATTCTAATCATGGGGATCCCGTGTTACAGTAGAGCCGTTCTTCGTAGGACTTTTGGTGGCTGGAATGAATGAAGTAGCTTGCCAAGCCTTTCTTACTTGGTGACTGTAGGTGAACTCAGACCTCCAACATTTTTTTATTAATTCTTAGAATCACCCGTAAATTCTAATCTAGTGTTAAGATCCCTTCTTTATTTGTGACTTAATATGCTTAAAGTGGACTAAAATATCCTTTTCAGGAATCTTAGTTTTTCCTAGATAAAGATAGTTGTTGTTCTATGGTTGATTTTAATTACTATATTTTTTATAATTTAGCCAATTGCCCCCCCCCTTCCCTGCTTTGTATTATTTTGGAAGCCATGCAATTTTAATTGATCCATAGTCTTTCTCATGGGAAAATCTAGATTTTGGATCTTAGGG